CAACTAAAAATATATAGAAAAAATTAGCCAGGCATGGTGGCGCATGCCTGTAGTCCGAGCTACTTGGGAGGCTGAGGCAGAAGGATTGCTTGAGCCTAGGAGTTTGAGGTTGCTGTGAGCTAGGCTGACGCCATGGCACCCTAGCCTGGGCAACAGAGTGAGACTCTGTCTCTAAAAAAAAAAAAAAAAATTTATTACAACAAAACAATGATGTCAGCAAGGGAAAAAGCACAGGTAGAGTCTGGAGAAATCCATATTTTCTTTCCTTATGTTCTTTCCCTCTTCTGAGTAAGTACATGAAATGTGTACTGCTTTCCCCAGCAACAGAAATGCAGTGACACATGTACATTGTTTCAATCCAGGAAGGCCCATTAGACACTCGGCACTCAAGATTTTTAAAGGAGGGTGTTACCTCCTCCCAGCCAAATATGTGACAATATGCAAACAGAGTATTGTCAACCAGGGAAAGGCACCTGAGCCTTAGGTATCCAGAATTTTTGTTGGAGCTCAATCACATACTACCTACATGGCTGACCTTTAGTTTCCAACCCCTCCTGGCAGTCAGGCTAATACCTTATCGTATAAGTTTTTGTCTAAAGTAATCATAGTGTTATTTCTTTCTTGCCAAATAATCTTCCTGCCTTATTTCTGATTCTTGTATTATTATGTTGGCTAGGCCCTCCTGTATAGTACTGAATAGAGGTAATGAGAGTGGGCCTCTTCATTTTATTCTGACTTTAAATGCTTCTCAGATACCATTAGCTATGATATTTACCATGGAATTTTGTTAGTTACCCTTTAACAAGTTACAGATATTCCCTACTAGTCCCAGCTTATTAAGAATTTTTATCATAAAAGGGCAATTTAAAAACAAGGTAGAATGAAAATGGTAGGTAATAATAAAAATTGAAAGTATAGTGTAAGTTCAAAGTAAAAGTACTGTAGGAATTATCTGTCCAGCAGCTGCTGTGCTGAGTGTCTTGGAAGTTGGGAAGGAAAGGCATCTGAGATGTACCAGAGCCAGAGATCAGGCCTTCATCTCATTTAGAGACATGGTCTCGCTCTGTTGCCCAGGCTGGAGTGCAGTGGCACAATCACAGCTCACTGCAACCTCAAACTCCTGGGCTCAAGTGATCTTCCTTCTTCAGCCTCATGAGTAGCTAGGACTACCATGTCTGGCTAATGAAAACTGAGATTTTAAATTACCTGGAGCACACAAGATTAGACTTCCTTTCTCTTAACTCCTAATTTGAAGGCTGAGATCTTAAAATTAGATGAAAATTTACTTAACTCTGTGTGATATATCCTTACAAATGAACATTTATTGAATGCTTGCTAAATATATCAGGGATTGTTCTAAGGACTTTATTTGTAATGATTTACTTACTTTTCACAAAACATCCCTAAGAGTAGTGTTCTATTATCCCCTCATTTGCAGATGAGGAAACTGAAGGTACAGAGAGTAACTTGTCCAAGGTCACGGGTAGCATGTAGCTCATAAATATGGTCCTGCTTCTCCCTTGCTAATGTAGGCAGTTAAGAGCTTTCCAAACAGGAGAAGTTATTTTATTATCCATTAAACTGATTTTATAAATTATTATAATTGCAGTTTCAATAATTAGTTTTGTAAAATCCAGATAGTGGAGTGGTTTTTATAGTTTGCTAATTTTTTCCTTATGTTCTACGTTTGTTCTGTCAGGTTTGCCTTTTCACCATTGTCTGAGGAAGAGGAGGATGATGAACAAAAGGAACCTATGCTGAAGGAAAGCTTTGGTAGTGACAAAATTCACCTTTTATTTGTGCTTTAAATATTTTTTTAATATAAATACA